ACATTTATGTGGTAGTACAAAGCGTACACCAAAAGTTCGTTTATACTGATTGGTGAGTAATTTCGGATCCAACGTGAATAATTCATAACGATTAAGTGTTAGAAGCTGTCCATCATCTACTGTTTCAATCAAACATTGATTTGTCTTGTGATCAATCCGATCAACACGTACACGTTTCCAGGAACCAGTCACACGAGCTGCATAAATACCTGATCGTTTTACCTGTAAATCAAATAATTTTTTTTTTATAATCATTCAGTTAACGAGAAAATGTTCATTTATTCGGTGCAATTATTGATTTGCTTCCTGAAAATGTTTTATAATGCTAATCCTAAAAATTTTTTTTTTTATAAGATTACGTTCGATCTCAACTAATATATGAGCCTCAGTTACTTGAATAAAATGTACTCAGGATGATCTTGCTACAACATTTCAGACAATTTTTTTTTCAACTTTAAAAATTACATTTGAAATCTAAAGAAAAAAAGCACGGTAAATGTGCAAAAGTGGAAATTGAAAATTCAAAAAAATGAAATTTCAAATTAACCCTTAATGCAGCATTACATTCAATCTCATTATTATAAACTTCATTCATTAGCATTTGCAACGCATCATACAACGCTTCATCGTCTTTCAACGTACAAGTGAACTGTCGACGGGTGACGTCGTAATGACGAAAAATTCCGGAAATTTTGAGAGCTGCCGATAAACCAGGCGAAGCGGAATAATTAGCAAAAAGTGATTTAAAATGACGTCTTAATGGTGTTCCAACCATATTCCGGATCAATTAGATGTTATACTATCTATTCATCATAATGACCCTTAAAATTAGGGATTGGGGTCAAAAGATACCGTTTACTGGCGGGATCGAATTATCCAGAAATTTACAAAAACTTTCTTGAATAATGCAAAAATTTGTTCAAATTTGAAAATTGTTCCAGATAAATAACATTTTTTCATTGGAAGCTTTTTGTATTTATTATTAGCTATCACTAATTATAATAATACATCACAATTATTTTTGATTAATTCTGATCTTGCTATGAATAACTTCAAATTTTGGCTTAAAATTTCCAAAAATTGAAAAAATAGAAGATTTAAAAAAAATTTTTTCATTAGTGTATTTTTTAACAAGTCTAATAAATGTTTTTTAGATAGTATACTATTTTAATATTCCTTCATGTTTGCTTTGTTTCAATTTTTATAAAAATTTGACTGATTTGCAATTAAATTTTTAGACGTGACAAACTTTGATGTCAACTGAATCGGTACAAAAGAAATGCTCTTCGACAAATTGAACTGAAAATTGCAAACACTAAATTACACTGTATATATAATTCTTACTAACAGATAATAATCAACAGAAAAAAGTGGCAATCAGAATTAGCATATGAGGAAAGATTTTGAAATGAGGAAAACAGGATTCCCATGCCGGGAATCGAACCCGGGCCGCGTGGGTGAAAGCCACGAATCCTAGCCACTAGACCACATGGGACGTACAGAAGATCAGAAGGTCAGATCACATATGCTATAATAGCATAATATAGTATGGTAGAAAGTTTTAGATCGAAAATTTCCATACCTTTCCCTTTCTTTCTTTCTTTCTTTCCATTCCCTCCATTTCACTCCTCCATCCATTGGTTTAAATTTTGAGAAAATCAACAAATTAAGGGAGTAAATTCATTTTTATACATCCTAGGAGGATTATAATCATCATAAAGTTGAAAATTTTGATTAAAATATTCATAAAATTTGTTATGTATCAATTTATTTCTGTAATTGAAAAAAAAAATCAATTGTTTATATGAAATAGTGATGAAAAACAGTATTATGCAATGAATGAATTAATATTCAAATGCAACATCACATCCATCGATTTTCGTTGGTCGAGAATCATTTGCTTCCCTTATCCTCCATGTTTAATGGAAAATTTTATTAATTTAATATTTATAAGTTATTAATTTTATTAATCCTATGTTATTTTTAATTTTTTTTTT